ATGCAAATCTGTCATGTAACAAAACTAACTACACCCCTACAATTATCACCACTTCAAATTCATGAAATTAGAATCAAGTGTTCTAGTTTAGGTGAAAGTAATTAGAACCTGCTTAAGCAGTATGCAGGGAAAACTTTAAATATCTAGGCTCTGGTGTTCTCTTTGCTATTGGTGTATGTGGTGTCATCATGCCAAGATCAAATGAGCTATGGCCTCAGAAAGATGGTTGTGCATGCCTTTGAGAAGGGCGAAGGATTTAAAAACATCAACAATTATTTGAAATTAATAATTCCACTGTGTTACCTTATAAGGTTAATGTCATATCTTCATGAACATATGTAGGTAGTTTTTGTAATTAAACATATTCTATGTTGGGTGAATGAATAGAGTAAGGAAAAAAAAGTATTTTTACTGTCATGAGGAATTGATTACATGGGGATTTTGAATGTAATTATGGATCTGTCCAGGCATAGCCTGTTAACTGTAAATGGTCGAGACAATAAGATCCATGAACACTTCAGAACCAAGACCTTTTATTTTCACAATAGGTGCATACTCTCTTTTGTCTCTGGCTAAGAGCTTCAAAGGATCCTTGTAGGTACATAAACAGTTAGATTGTCCACCCTTGTTTAGATGCAATCATGACCTGGGGATAGCCCATGGACACCTGTGCATTTGTAATTTTTCCTCCAGTTTCGGTACAGTAAGATCATTAAAGATCATTGAAGATTTGCATAGAAAGGGATTGGAAGTTCTAACAAGCATTTGAGCATTTGAAAATTTCCAATTCCCAGAGAAGGATTCTAATTTGATAAGATTAAGTATTGGGAGGCCGTTAGTCGATGACCCTCAATGCTTCCTCACCAGGGCTTTGGAGGGAAAGTTAGGGAATTATTCACAAAAGGGTGAAGAGTTTGGAGAAGGCAGGAGAAGTGAACAATCTAGGCCAAAATAGCTGATTTGGAACAATTCTCCAATTCAGCTATTTTGGCCTAGTTTGTTCACTTTTCCTGCCTTCTCCAAACTCTTCACTCCTTAGTGAATAACCCTGAGTTTGTTTAGGCCACCATAATGGGACCCTTATGTGACAATTAATTGGTAAATATGCCCATACTCCCTCAGCACTTAAATGTACTGTATGTCTATCGTTTGTCTCATATACAGTATATCAAGGTCTGTGCATGCTTAAATCTTTTCTTTGTGTTTTGTAGTTAAATAGATTATTGGTTCACTGTGTTTGTCTTAATACTATATACCAATATGTTTCTGTTATTGGGTTGAGCTCAAAAATCTCATGATTGAATCCTCATTACCATATACTTGTAGGTGTGAACGTTTATATAACGGATCACAACTTAAACCAGTAATTTTGGTAAAGACTGTAAGGAAAATAATTGGGTACTGTATAATACGTTGACTGTCAAAACTTGTAAATATTTACAGAAAGCAAAAAGTTTGTCAAAAATCTGTGTACACACTTACTAGACGCATAGCAAAATATGTAATCAAAAATAGATTTGGGGACACAGAAGCGTTACTAATGCCAATCATGTCAAAAGAATTTCAATCATACAAAAAGCCTAAAACATCACTAAAATGAGGCTTCAGCTCGATAACTAATAGTATAGTAGTAATAATATGCTTTACTTGGCTGTTTTTCTAGTATTGGACTATTACATGCTTCCAAATACAAGTGAGTAATTGTCAATGTCATGCCTCCACTGCAATTGACTCTTTCTACCAGTCAGCCTCTCTCTAAATATATCACATCAGTGGACAAACCACATAGTGATGGCTATAACATACTTTTGTAAGATTATTTATTTTATGGACCCAACCATTACAAATGTTTACAATACTATTTCAGCTTGTTACATGCTCTGAATGGCTCCTTGACACACCCGTGGATGTTTGAATTTTGCATGCTATTTGCAAGAAACTTTTTTGCATGCATGTGGTGCTAAAATGGTTCTGGTACCATGCCTACGTCAGTTCTCAGCAGAATTTGGCAGTTACCTGTCCATGGCAGCTAGGATCTGGCCCTAAGTCCCAGAGATAAAATAAACATTTCCTAGCATTCTTATGCTGCTTTATAGTACTCAGTAACAGGGCTTCATTATTGCCATCTCTGACATTATAAGCATTTGCTGTGAACTCAGATGCCCATCTTGTAGCAGGGCAGAGCTGATCATGCAAGGAAGACTTTATAAAAATATTGTTAAGAGATTATTAAAACATGTTGTTCGTTGTTTTTTTAAATCTAGACAGACATTTAAAAAGCAGCTACATTTTTTTTAAATGTACGATTGCATTTATAAAGCAGAGGAATGAGCTTTACAAATGTGGCATAAAGAATACAAAGCTGTTAGAGTGCTATAAAAATGAATGGGAAGGAGGGGAAAAGAAAAAAAAAGCAAGGAGGAGAGCCTAGTCACAAGACCATCTTTCTTCTAAGTCCTTGCTCTCTCTGCTGCTTTACACAGAGAAATCTCTTTGAACTACTGCTGTGAATGGGCAGTAAATGTGGATTTGGGTGTGCACAGCAGGACTTGACCTCATTCACTAAGCTAAGAGAAATTTACCTTGCAAAGTGACCATTTCCTTTTCTATATTTTTTTTCTTTTTTTAAAATCTTTATTTATAATTTTATCTTTATAAATTCAAAAACATATACATGTCCATACAAACAGAACGTAAGAAAAAGAAGAGAATTTCCTGAATTACCAATATCACATAACAAATATATATACAAGACTGACTCCATAGGTCATGAATCCAGCAAAAAGCCTCAACCAAAAAAATAAATAAAGAAGATAAATTGGATACCCTCTTAATAAAAAAACATATTTACATTCCCCCAAAGTTTCCGCCCTAAAGGTTCATCGAGCTATAATCAGTCCAAATATCCCATTTACTGAGGAACGCATCATAATTCTCTCTACCCATTGCTATCCACTTTCCAGATTCCATTTGTTTTTAAAAAAATGGCGGCAATCTAATTAGTATTGACTGTAAAAAAAATAATATTCTCGGCAGAACATTCATTTTCAAAATATTTATGCGGCCTAACCAAGTAAATGTTGTTTTATCCCAAGAGCCAAGGTGATCACTTTCAACAATGGTACATAATTAAGTTCATACATTTGTCTCAACGAACTTGAAAGTTTGATTCCCAAATAACGAAAATGCTGTGAGGCCCATTTAAAAGTGAATGAGGATTTCAAACTATGACTAACGGCCAGAGATAAATTTAATGGCAAAATTTCTGACTTCGAATAATTAATCCGAAAATTAGATATATTACGATATATACTTAGTTCTTGTAGTAGATTAGGAAGGGATATCTGTGGTTGAGTGAGGAAAAATAAAATATCATCTGCATATCCTGATAATTTGTGTTCTTTATCCCCCTACTCTAATTCCATGTATGGCTGAATTGTTTCGAATCTTAGTTAAAAGGGGTTCTAACATTAATACAAATAATAAAGGAGACAATGGGCATCCTTGTCTCGTTCCATTTTGTATAGTAAATGGGGCAGATACTAAACCGTTGACTCTTACTCTCGCTTCTGGTTTACTGTAAAGTGCTGCAATTCCCTGCCTTATATTCGGTCCTATACCAATTACCTTTAATGTCTCCTCCATAAACATCCAATCCACCCTATCGAATGCCTTTTCAGCATCAGTTGACAATAAAAGGCATGGCGGAGAAGCCGAACTAGCTTCTATCCAATGAATCAGATTAATGGCTCTATTAGTATTGTCGCGTAATTCTCTTCCTCGTATGAAACCTGTTTGATCTGGATGTACCAAAGCTGGGAGGAGACCTCCGAGTCTATTGGCCAGTATCTTCGAGAAAATGTTCACATCTGTATTAAGAAGGGATATTGGTCTGTAATTTTGGGGTACAGTAGGATCTTGGCCCTCTTTAGCAATTACTGATATGTATGCTGACAGAAATAAGGGTGGTATAGGTTCTCCAGAAATAATTTTATTAAAGAATCTACACATATGGGGGCCTAATAGCGGTAAGAACTTTATATAATAAGCTTTCGTGAACCCATCAGGTCCCGGAGTTTTCCCGTTAGGAAGGCTTTTAATCACTGATTCGATCTCCTGTACTGTTATAGGCCTATCTAGCTCCTCCGCCTGCTGGGCTGACAACTTTTTGCTATTTTCCATCTCCATATACATATGTATAAATGAGCGCTTATTATCTATAGATATTGGAGATCCTTCTCCTGGCAGATTGTATAACATAGAGATGTGTCTCTTGCAATCTTAAGTTCTACCCATAATTTACTTTGTTTACAAGGGGATCTGAGCCCATGTACATTATAAGATAAGATTTTTTATTCTGTCATAACCTTTTAACTATCAAATTCAAAAAGCTGAACCGAGAGCAGTCCCTTTTATATTCAGGGACGTCTGTCATTCTGATCCAAAAGGAGACTGTAGAAGTTTGAAGTTTAAAAAAGAAATACTGGTCAATGTAATGTATTTCTCCTTCCCTCTCCACCTGACCATCACACCTGCCTATATGGCCAAAAGTATGTGGATACCCTTCCAAATGATTAAGGTTAAGTGTTTCCAGTGTAGAATACTGTTAATGCTACATAAAAAGACATCTAGACATTTGTGTTCTTCCAAACTTCCTAACATTAAACAGCCAAAGTGTTTCAGAAGCTCTGGCACAGGCCCCCCTAAAACACTTCTCTTGTCAACAGCAATAGTTCTATAATGTGACATAACTTGCAGTAGTGGGTTTGTGTTTCACATAAAATTATTATTTATTTTTGTCAGCTCTAATTTTTATTTTTCAGTTGACAAATCAGCATAGCATCTTACATTTTGTTTTCTACTACTGATTTAGCAATCTTTAATTAATACACCAACACCACTTATTTTGCTTACCTTTGGACAACTTATGACATATCACTGTGTTAACGTTCAACATATAAACAGGTCACATTGATTAATAAAATTAGAAATATATACACCTTCTTTTTTCTCTTCCTGGGCAATTTTCATTTTTGTATCTGTAATGTCCTTAAAGGATGCAAGGAAAAGGACCACATCACCCTTTTCATTCTTTATGGGAATAATGTCCAATAGACACCAGAATGAAGTACCTAAAAAATAAAAAAAAGATTTAAAAAAAAAAATCAGCATATTAAATACAAGCACATTGATGAAACAGAAAAGTACAAATCTGGAGCTGCAACTAATGTAATTTTAACCAAATCTTATTGGAAAGGTCAATAGTCGAGAAACCACAGCTGTTCAGTAAATGTAAATCTGCTTGTCTCATCCTACAGAGCTTAACAACGCTCCTCTTTGTGGAAGTACAGCATTGATTTAAATGTAAAATGTATCTGCTGGGATCATTAAAATGTCTTAATGAAGCTTCTTATTACTTCTAAATTACACTTTTACTTTGAACCTCTTATTGATCATAACTTTCTTATTGTAATGGAATATTTCCCAGTGTGCTGATTGCGATATCTAAAGTTTGCTATTTAGAGCCTATGTCTTTCTCATTATTAATTAGAAAGTTGTCTCCCCTCATCATCCTGCCTCAGAAGACCTAATGTCCATATATCCTTGTATCTAATTCAGAAGGCGGAAAAAAACATCACTTACTTTAAATACGATTGCAGTAAAATATATTATCTACAAATGCTTACTATATATATATATATAACACATTTCTAGTCTTAAAATGAATAACACTTTTAACACAATATAGATCACTTGGTACAGTTTGATTTGCGGTATTCCTTTAAGTGCACTGATTCTGCAATGGAAATATTTTGTTTCTATTTAGTAAAATAATAATTAAAGCAGAGGTGAAATATATACTAAAAACATAGAGCATTGTATTAAATAAAAACAATTTATAAGAATGTATAAATTATACTGCATTTAAAATGTATTTTATCAGTTGTTAATTTTTTTAGTATTTTTCTATTTTTTGTTTGAAGAAAAATTAGGCCCAATTGTATCTTCTATGTTTAATCTTTAAATTAAGTCAGGGCGTTGTTAATTGGAGCATTGTATTAAATAAAAACAATTTATAAGAATGTATAAATTATACTGCATTTAAAATGTATTTTATCAGTTGTTAATTTTTTTAGTATTTTTCTATTTTTTGTTTGAAGAAAAATTAGGCCCAATTGTATCTTCTATGTTTAATCTTTAAATTAAGTCAGGGCGTTGTTAATTGGAGCATTGTATTAAATAAAAACAATTTATAAGAATGTATAAATTATACTGCATTTAAAATGTATTTTATCAGTTGTTAATTTTTTTAGTATTTTTCTATTTTTTGTTTGAAGAAAAATTAGGCCCAATTGTATCTTCTATGTTTAATCTTTAAATTAAGTCAGGGCGTTGTTAATTGGAACATATTTGTTGTGACTGTGCAAGGGGGTATGATGGAGCTCTGGAGACTGAGCACTGTTCTCCAACAGAGGAACAGCAGTCCTGATCTCCAGCATGCTGCCAGCAATGGTGTGTATGGCATGGCTTTTTCATTCAATTGTTTTTTTATTCATATTTTCAGCAATTTACAAACAATATAGCAGTATCAACAAGTGCAAAAATTAAAGAAGGTCACAGTATCAAGTGAAAACATAAAGTGGCAAAATCAACAATTGATAACAATATAAGCCCATGAGGGCTATAATAACAAAAAATAGTAAACTTAAGAGGAACAAAAACAATGCCTTGAAGTACATATATCAGTGCTAGTAATGTTCTAAGGGTCCCAACTGTTAGGTCAAGAAAAGTGGATCCCTGATCAGTGTCTGAACTACCAGGAACCAGTATGAAACAGCCAGAGGGAAAGGGGCAAAGAGCAAAAAGGATGAGAGGAAAAGAGATAGATGAAAAAAAGAAAACAGAAAAGGGGGAAGAAGAGGGAAGGGTTGGGGAGAGAAAAACGAGAGAGGGGTGGGGAAGAGGGGACAAAAGGGCGGGGAAAATGGGATGGAGGAGGGAGTATTCCTCTTCACTACAGGCCCTTGTCTCAATAGAGTTGACTAGGAAAGTGGAGCAAAAAAAAATACATAACCAAGAAGTCCATATAAAAAAAGGGGGCATATAGGAGTCAATCTGCTGTCAATCGTGTCAGTTTGAATAGCCAACAGTTTTTCAAAAAACCTGACCTGTGAAACTCTATGCTGGACCTCTTCAAAAGGGACATTAGGGGATCGCCATGTATGTGCAATAACCCATCTAGCTTCAGTAAAAATCAAATTGACCAACTGAAACTGTCGGTGGGTACATACCGCTGGTATGTTGCCCAGCAGTGCTTCCACAGGGCTTTTCCGAAATGACTTCCCCGTAACCATATGAAGTAAAGGATTTGTTACTCTGTTAAGCCAGTTTTATAATCAAGACATCCTTTCCAGACATCATAGCCAGGTTCTAACAATATTTTTTTCCACTTAAGTTAGAACAACGCAGCCATGACATGAGTCATGACCAGGGTAGTTCAGAAGTAACTAGCTACTTTTTACCTACTGCTTGGCCATAACCCTACCTCCCCTACACTACCTTGCCCACCCAAAAAAATTATCACACTCAAGTGGAGTTAAACCAGCCATTCTATTATAAATGACCACAAGCATTTTAAATAAAAATGACAGAACAGTAGAAAGGGTTGCATGTTCTTGAAGGCACCATGAGAACTAGACACAATCCATTTATTGGCAGCATCAGTTACCTATGTTATGCCTCCAGCCACAATACATCATCTCAGAGCTGATATTAACTAACTACAGACACATTCTGATCCATAGATGCCACACCAAAGATGTGTCCCAAAACAATATACTGTATAATACCACCAAATTAAACTGCCTTCAAAAGGTCTCAAAGAAAACACCTACTGCTATGACTTTCATCCAGGCTGTCTAATTTAGTATAGGGAAGGATGGAAGCTTTCTTGGTGTCTGCAGATCTCCAACTGAACTTTGCCTCACTAAATCATACAGACCATCCCTATGAACTCCTTCTAACTAGCTCACATTTGTCCAATTAGTTTATTGACCGCTATTTGACCTCCCTGCTAACCATTTTAACATTTTGATAACAGGCTCCCCTACTCACCCAGTAATGTAGGCCCTATGCTTAGTTTCTTTTGTCTCTCTTAGCTCTGGGCCTTTTTTTTATCTGATTCTGGATACTGAAGGAGCAGCAGCTCATGGATGAGGTAATCTGTGTTCTCTCCTCCAATTACAAAGCACCATTGGCTAGATTCATGATATTGTGCAGTGCACTAAAGACCAATTTGCTTGCAGAACATCTTCACTTTGAGGTTAATTTACATAAGTGTATTAAATAGTATATCTACACCCAAATGATCTATGAAAATATTTTTTTTTGCAAAAACAGAGGATGGCAATGCCTGGGAGTTTAGGGCTTGGGGGCATCCAGGGAGCCTGGATGTGACTTCAAACACTGCACTGCAAAATGGCCAGCTCAGTGCTTTCAGGATGCCCATTAGCAGGCCCAGCTTTTATGGTTACAGATGAATGCAGCCACCTTTTGTCTTAATGCTCATTCTTATGGTTATCCACCATGCTATAAGTGGCCTGCTTATAGATGATATGGACACTGTTTTCAAACCAGATTCAAGGGAACAGCTCCCTCCTCTTTCTGCATGCCAAAAAGAGAGTGGGAAGCTGCTGTGTGGAGGATGCCTAAAACAGCACATGAAGAAATTGCTTTCACTCACTTGTTATTTACTTTCTGTGTGGCTTTTAGGCATACCTTAGGCTACATTCAAACTGTGCAATTTGGGATTCCTGCAGTAAGAACCTACAGAAATTTCACATTTGGATGCAGATGCTGTTGCATGTTCAAGTGAAGTGGCAATCTGCATGTCATTGTTATGCCCTATGCATGTTTGCATTTGCATGCACGGGTAGTTGCTTTGAAATTTTTTTGTTATTTTATAACTCTTTACTTTTTACACTTTTTCTATTTAAAATTATTGCTATCACAAGGGAGCTAACAAACCCCTATGTGATAGCATTGGCAGGTGACAGGTACTCTTTGATGAGACAGCGGGGGTCTGATAGTCACCTCTAATGTCTCCCCTGCCCTGTATTTCAGCTGATCAAGCACAGGACTATGTGTGATTGGCTGTTTACAGGTATTAATGATTGTGTTGATAGTTACCAAAAAGCATTCTCTCTTTTGCACCATGGTAACAGTCTACAATTTGTAGCAAGGATTTCCCACAGTCTACATCCCTGTGTTCCTCTAAAATTCTTACTTTCTCGCTCCCTTACAAATTGGCATTATTTTGAAGAAAAAAGAAATCAGCAATACCATAGCCAGTGTATAACTTCTGCAAGAGCAAAATAGGTCAGAATCTTCATTCATGTTTGTTTAGATGTCTTTTCTATGAAACAATGTGACTTAACAAAATAAAAATACAAATTCCTTATTTCATTTTGAGGTTAATTGTACAAACATAACATGATTACTTTTTGATGGTTATGTTTCCGTCATTTATTACAGAATGCTTTTTGTTGCCATTATACTGTACTTTATTTCTGTAGTTCTTTTATATTACTCTCTGACACTTCTTTTATGCATTTTCACCTGTGGTTTTCATTTGTTTGAGATGGTTGCTAAGTAACAACACCTGTTGAAATAGTTTGCTTTTTAGGTCAAGTGTTATTCTAGGGAAATGTAAAAAAACTCTCTAGATATCTTTTTGCTCAAGCTGTGATTTGCAACACTGATCTATCTTTCTAACTTGAGCGCGCCGATCATTCCCCATTTTTTTCAAATAGTACTAGTATATTTATCAATGTATATGTATCTGGGAAGCAAACGAACATTAGAATATTTAATCACCATTTTAACATTATCACATTCAGGGCCGCAGCAAGTCAAGTGACAATGCAAAGGTGACAGCCCTTAGCAAACATCAATAAAATACCATGTATTAGAGTAACACAAATAAGCAAGATTCAGAAATAGTTGGTATGAATACATTATTGTACAGTGCAGTCATAAAACCCTAGTTACATGAATTAATATATGCTATAGTAATTAATATATATAATATATTAATATAGTTATAGTTATATATAGTACATATTATACAATA